GGTATGATATAGCCCAGCCCTACTGTCGTTGTGATTAAAATCTTGAGTATTTAGCTGTGACTGCAGTTTCTGTGTGACTCAGCTTGGCCTATTTTGTCAGATTGTCAAGCTGCAGTTGTTAAAAGACAAACAAGTACACAGAGCTGTTAGTGATGCAGTCTGAGATTTTGATGGACTATTATTTGATTTATGAGATTTGTACCACCAGCTACTAAAAATTAAGTGTCCATGTGCCATTTGTTTGCTTTACATTGGTGGCTGCTCATATTAAACATGGATCATGAGGTTAAAGTTAGGTGACACTTTTGTTCAAGCACTTTTTTTCTACTCTTGTATCTGTGTGACTCAAAGGGGGGAGGGGTATATCCCCAATACAGCAATCTCACTGCTCTGACTATGAGGACCTAAGCCCCGCCCACTTCATATTCAGACTCTTGAAAATGTGAAAATGAACATATTATATCCACTTCAAACTATAACCGACAGTCATGTTGCAAAGTGAGCAGAACATTGATTGAGTCTTTGTATTCAACATGTGTCTCTCATGTTTTGAGTGAAAGAGCTGGTCTGGTCATATCTTTCAGGAGCAACCATAAAACGCATTCAGCAGCAGACCCACACCTACATTGTGACGCCGAGCCGGGACAAAGAGCCAGTGTTCGAGGTTACGGGCATGCCGGAAAACGTGGACCGGGCGAGGGAGGAGATAGAGGCCCATATCGCCCTCCGCACCGGAACCTGCGGGGGCATCGAGGCTCCAGGTGTAGACAACAATGACTTTCAGTTCAACGGGACAGATGTCAGCTTCGAGACATCGGCTGTTTTGGGAGAGGCCGGATGGCTTCAGGCAGTTGCATCATCACCAGGCGGCGGTGGCTTGCTGCCACTAAACATCAGCGGTACTCAGCGAGTCAATAGCAATATCAACAATGGCCCCAGGATGTCTTCCAACTACCGCAACGACAGCTCCAGCTCCCTGGGCAGCGGCACCAGCTCAGCCGATTCTTTTTATAGCAGCGGGAACGTCAACCGACTGGCAGACGTCAGCCCGACCGGCCCATTTAATGCCAACGCTAACAACAACAGCAATGGCGGCAGTGCAAGTTTCTGGTTTGGCGAGGGCCTTCTTCCCGTGGGGTCTGAGGAGCTGGTTGGGCTGGGAGGTGGAGGCTCCTCCTCAGGATTTGACCCATTAACCATTTCCACTGCCCATTCGTCACACCCTACTGCACAGCCACACATCTGGAGCCCCTTTGTGGACCACCAGCCCCTCCAGGCCTTTGATGCTCTTCAGTCTCAGGTAAGAGAAATTTAACAGCTGCAGTTCTATGGCCGCCTGTGCAGTTTTATTTTAGTCTTTTTATGGGCAGCAGCGTGCAGGGGGAGTTTGATATGCAAATTGCAGGCTCAGAACTGTGATTTATCACAGATGTGCATTTATAAGGATTTTGTTATAACATTAGAAATCCCTTAAAAAATGATGGTGGATATAAAACTTGGTAAGCTAAGTTAATATGTTGTTTCTCACTAACTTATTTGCCTGCATAGCTCAATTTTAACATAAACTTTTTGATGGTGTCCATTTATCTAATCTTCAACACCTATGATGTCTCCAGACAAGCCAGCCTGGGACACCCCGGCTCTCGCCAACCTTCTCTGGGACCGATGCCCTGGAGCATCCTCAGGCCCAGCGTGTTCACCGGGGACCGTTTGACTCGGCCGGGGCTCTCGACGCCCACAGGTTCCCCTCTTACAGCTCAGCCTTCTCCTCCTCAAGTGAAAGCACCGCCTCCTCTTCCTCCCCTCCCGAATCCTCGCTCGCCTATCGACTGGGGCTCGGATCAACAGGGAGGGGACAGGATTTGTGCGTCCAGTGTATGAATAACCAGGCGATCGCCGCCTTGGTTCCTTGCGGCCATAACCTCTTCTGTCTAAATTGTGCCACCCAGATATGCCAGGGTCCAGATGCTGTGTGCCCTGAGTGTCTGTCCCCAGCCACCCAGGCCATTCAGCTTCGCAATATGTGATTTTCTTCTTCTTCTCTTTTTTCCCCCTTAATTTCCTTTATAACTGATTAGAGATCAGCCTGCCCAACACTTATGGTTCATGACGTGTGTGTGTGTGTGTAGGGGAGGGAAATACAAAACTGACCCCAGGTCAGTGTCTAAGTGTAATTCTTATCTGGCTTCCTTTAAGCTGGTGAAGCAGAGTAGGTGAATAAGGAATGATGTTGATTTAGGGCCGAGGTTAGGGTGCTGAGCCCGTTCACGTGCCTGGTATTGTGAAGTCTTCTTCCTTGATTGATCAACGAGAGGGTTCGAAACCCTCTATGTAGCATTGGGGGGAGGGTGGGGTTGGGATAGATATATTTTTTGATTCATATTTTCTTTTTTGTCCTTAAAATCTTTAGTTATTGTTATTTTTTTGTACCTACCTATAATTTTATTTGTTTTAAATTGAGTTTGAATTCTATTGGCCTTTTTTGTCTACATCTCAAACGTTTTTTCTTCTTCTTTAAAATACATTGAATTATGGCCAAGACCCTTTGCCTTTATTTTAAGTAAAAAAAAACAAAAAAAAAACAGTAGAGGCAAATGAGTTTCCATGAGTTCCACATGTGACTGTATAACTACACTATTAAGGAAAAATAGTGTTCTTCTTGTTACTTAAAAACAAACAAACAAAAAACCAAGTTAATGCAGTAAATCTGATACAGCGTAGGTCGTCTTTTCAGAATTCATGTTTCCCAGATGATTGGTGCAAATATCATCAGGCTACCGGCGCACACCTGCGCGTCTTTAAAAAGGATGTTTACATTCAGTAGGACTTGAATGAGAGGTTTTGAGTACTGCTAATATAATAACAGTGTAACACACACGGACACACACCCGCGGCGTGTTTTGACTTTATTAACTACAATTTGAAAGTTGTCGCACTCCAACGGCAATCTCTCGTTGCCTCATTTCTTTATTCTTTTCCCAGAATAACACCGACAAGTGAGTAACTTTTTTTATTACTTTTGGGGTCGAGATACCGCTTCAGTATCGCCACGTTGCTTTCCACTTATACTTACAAACTGTTTACGGTAAACTTGTGCCTAATTCCACTCTGAGTGTAAACAGAAGTAAACCGGTTCAGCGGACACATGGCGTTGCGCTATCTTTAAACAAACTTGTGGCCTTTTTTTGGGAAGCCAGTAATTAATTCACAACACTATCTTCAGATCCAGATTTTCGGGCTCAAAAGAACACAAGCTGACAGACCGAAGTCTTAATATATTTGTCGAGGTTCAGTCTCCCAAGACGCTCCTCGCTGGAACAAATCTTGTCTCACGAGGACGCTTTCTTTCGCTTCCTATTTTCCCAAGCTGATATCGAGTGTTGCGTTCATATTTTTTGGCACCAAACTTTCTTATTTTGTCCATTTCTGTTGTCACATTTCCCCACCCCCACCTGAGTTTATTTACTTCTAATTTATATGTGCGTTACGACCTCGTATGGAAACAAAGTACTGTTTTTCAGCCAAAAACAGATATGCACAGCTTGTACCTTTGGAAACATTCCTCCTCCCTGTTGTTAAAGTATTTACTCTTACTTAAATCACACCTGGGAGCAAAAAAGAGATTTTTCTGAAACTATGAAGACAGCTGTGATCTGGAACAAATCCCTGTACTGTACAGGCAGGCTACTGATTCTTTTCTTTTTTTCTTTTTGTAGACATCTCAGTAATATCCTTCTCTTTCACTTGAATGTCGACTCGTTTGGACGGCTCCACCCCGTGGCTGTCTCTTCACAGCTTTTCGGTAGGAAGTCAGGAAAATGATTCCAATGGGATGCAAAACTGAGATGAAGGCCGCTCGTTGCTTCACTTTTGTAATCCCACGTCTCTTCTGCCAGGCCTATGCAAAATTCATCTCAGCACGAAGCACTAAGTGAAGCTTCTCGGGTTTCAAACAAACTTTGGGGTTAAACTTGTAGACAGAAATAATCCGTCTGTTTATTTTAGTTTTTTATTCCTATTACATTTCAGTTCTTTAATGAGATGTTTTAACGGTACACACTTCACCTTTAACCAGCTCAGTTGCTGTTGTCCTGTGCACTACTAAGCACAGAGCTTCCCCATTATCATATCACACTATTGACTGGCCGGGACAGGCATGTTATCGACTTTCCTCTCACCTTCTCATCTCAAATCGTAGCTTTAAATATCTGTGTCTTTAGACTAGTACAGGACAGAATGAGCTCACGGACACTTTTAAAAGGGGGAAGCACTGGAACGAGTTCAGCTCGGACTGCGCTCGCACTACATTAGGTCAGTGCTGTCTCTCTGGTGTGTGGACACTGGATTGCAGTCCCTCTAGCATTCCAGCTGTAAACAGTATTTTGGGAGTTTTTACACAGCTTTGCTCCGTTTCTTTTTAATATCCATCATCTTGGCTTTCATAACAAAATGCAACCAAACAAGTCCCGCTTCTGCCCCCCTCTTTGGGTCATCCATCCGTCCCGTTGTTTTCTCAGCTCTACGATGAGCCGGTCTCCTTTTAGTCTTTCTCTCTCTGAGGGAATGCAATACACTGTCGGCCCTCAGTTTATCGATATGAATCTATTTACATTTTTGTGTATGTATTATATAATGTTACTGTTAATGACTGATAAATATACAGAACTTATTTTTATTTTGTTACATTTCATATATACATAAATATATATATATATCTTTAAAATGTTTACAATAAGATTTTTGTAAAAAATGTTTCTTTTTTTTTTTTTTTCTTTAATTTTCTGAGTGATTAGGTGAACGAAGAGTTGGAAACACAGACATGTTTCCACGCAGGAGTGTCAGTGCTGTCTGCTTGTAGTCTAGGTATTAGTTTACAGTATTGATCATAATAGTATTGATAGCTGCTGTTTAAACCTAGTGGAAAATGGAATGTGCATCACGAGCATGTCTTCATAATTTACCGCCAATGTAAAGCATCACACTGCAACTGTAAAAAGGCCAAGGATCCAAGCTGCCTGTCATGTCTGTACACCACCAAATTAAGAACGGTATACTATTAAAATGTATCTTAGATTATCTCTATATAAATACATATATTGTTAAGCTGTACCAACAGTTCAAAGTATTTGCTAATTTTACTACTTTTGTTATGTATATGTAGGGGGAGTCTTATGGCATATAAATTCTTTCAAATTGAGTCAGGAGTTTAAAAGCAGACTATATTTTATAACGGCCTTTTAAGTTATTGTGGCCAAAGCACTGATATTATATATTTGCTGTAAAGAGAATTTAAGAGTTTTATTTTTCTGATATTAAAGTTACTTAATAAAGACGGTTTCATTTTAAGCCATGCCAGACTGCTGTCATTTTTTTCTTTTCATATTTCCCGTGGGATTGTTTTCACGAGGAGTTCAGATTTCATCAGAATTACAACATACGGGAGGATGTTTTTTGCGATTGAGTGGGAAGGTTCAGGTGAAATTTTAAGTTATTATCTCAAAAGTTCAACTCAGACTTCTAAGTAAGTTGAAATTTTGGAACGCTAACCTTGAAACTCTTATGAGAAGGGTTTGTTTTTTTTTTTTTTTTCCCCACCAGTGGCAGAAATAAGTTTTCATTTTAACAGGTATTCCTGACGAAAGCAGCACCACACTCCTCACTAGTGAGCATTAATGTCCCTCAGGACCTGCAAAAATTGAATTATTGGATCAAGATTGCAGAAAAAAGAACGATGCAAAGTGCAGCCTTTGAAAAAAATATTGATATGGAGTTGGGTAAGCGTTAAATGGCACGAGGACTTTGTTCTTTGAATTCTGCTGCTCAGACTAGGGTGAAGTTAGAAATTGTGATTAGAAATTCCAGTTTGGAAACACAGCACATAGTTGTTGTTTTTTTTGTTTTTTTTTATAGATTCAATAATTTGCCGCTCATCATCTCTGTAGATAAAGCAAAAAAATAGAAATACAGTGTGTGTCAGTGTTGGAGCGTTTTTTACATCCATTTTTTATGGCTTTCTCTACATTACTTTTTCCATATTCTTTACATTAGCCATAGGGATTTTTGTACTTGTGTTTCTTTTATTTATTTCACACCACTCAAATATCCAGCCTTGTACAGAAAGAAATCAGATATTAGAGGCAGCACGACTGAAAGTAAGATGTACACGACTGCTAACGGTTTTTTTAATCAGGCAGTAAATTTGAAAAAGCCCACCCACATGTGCCTTCTATTCTTTTTAATTAAACATCAGCTGAAGTGCACGTTGTTCTGCTGGTATTATAAAGAATGTGTGTATTTACAGAATGCTTGTTGCCCCAGAGGTTTTGAGCTGTGACAGTTGGAAAACTACACGTGTAAATAAGGCAGGGTCTGCTGTGTAATCTGACCTCATGGATGTCCTTTAAAAATCATTTTCTTGATTTGTTGTCCAAATGTCTTCTGTGACAAACGAACATGGAAAAAAATGGGTGCAACAGAGCAAAAAGAAGAATGAGGGGAGATATGGAATATAGCAAAAGTGCATTTGAATGAGGGGGTGGGGTCAATATTTACCCACTTTTCTTTGCAAAGGGCATCTCCAGGACACAGGTGGGATTCAGGTATGGGCTCTGAGTGGATGGGGTATTGAAAATCTTCTTTGTTGAAGTCATTTATTTGTTGATTATATGCTTTAACTTGTTACAGCAAAAGAAAAAACTGCTCTTTATCTTTAGATGTCTTCTTGTGTTAAAACTTCTACCACCCTGACTAAAGCACAAGTCCCAGCAGAGGAAAACCAGCCCCAAAGCATAACGCTGCCACCGTGATCATGATGTCCTGGTGATGTGCAGTGCTGTAGGAAATATGGCTACAAAGTTCAACATGGCCCCACATGCTTTTTAATAACCTGGTGTACACGGTTGCAAAACGTATTCAGGGTTGGATGGTTCATGTCTTGCCACTACAGCCCATTTAGTACACGACCATTGCTCGCCAGAAATTCCTGCAGCTCCCCTAATGCTGCTGTAGGCCTCTCAGCAGCCTCCAGACCAGTTTTCCCATCAGTTTTGGAGGGATATCCAGGTCTTGGTTGTGCCATATATATGTGTCTCCAATGATTGTGTGGCATGGCATACCCACGCACCCTTCTCTTGATTGATATATTTTTCATTACTTGTTTTATAAAACATTTGTCTCAACTCTTCTTTGTACACTTAAATCACCTCTTAAGATCAGAGGAATTAGCAAAAGGGGAGCCAGTAAAAGTAGCAGCACTGAAACAGACATCAGCTGAGCTTTTCAATCCTTTGTTCTTTGTTGAAATTCAAAGTGTTCTTCTAACTTTAACTTGAGCTCTGGTGTAACTGTACACTCCCGTGTGTCTATCCAGGCCTTTTCATTAAGGATCACCTCATTTAAAAATTGCTTTCTTATGTTGCTGTGAAAAAAAAGAACAGGACACTGTGTAGAGAATATCAGGCCATTTTTAATTATAGACTCTCACATAAGAAATACAGGTAAACTTTATTTCTGCAATTTGTCATAGTAGTCAGCATCAACTCATCTGAGCTGTCTTTTGGCTCCTATAATAACCGCAAGTTATTTAAAAACATCTGTCCACCTTAAAGCACAACATCATATAACGGACTCTATTCTTCAGCATAAATTCTCTATCCTGTTTCCTGCCATGCAATAGATTAGATCCATAATAAGAAGTGTCAAGATTTTAACATTTTTGAACACAGCTCTTCAAAATGATGGTGACATAATGCAAACAGGGATGAGGAAAGCGAACCACGGCTTAGTTATGGTTACTTGTTGGGTTGTGAAGATCCCTGTGAACAAAGAATAAAAGGACAGACGGACATTCGTGAAGAAAAATCCTTTTCATGAAGCTATAACTGAGCGGAAGTTTGTGTGTTAAAATAACAAGCATGAGTTGATGGTTGCGAGTGATCAACATGTGAAAACCTGCATCAAACAGTGCAACAGAATCCATCAAACGCGCTTTTCTTGACTAGTTTGTCACATTTCACTCGTTTCAGGTTTCAACCTGCAAGCGAAGTGGTCGTTTATTAGAGGTGGACCGCTAATAACCAGAGATTTATGTCTTTAAGGTGCCTTTTTTTAATAGGACGTGCTAAAATTTTTACATGAATTCATTAGATCATTTGAGTAAGTTACGTCTATGCAGATTCCCTCTATTTGCCTTTACTACAACACACAAACATCAGTACACAGCAGGTGCTGGTTTCTACTCTCTTCTGATGATAATTTGCATGTAATGCAGAGCAAATGAATCACTCCATTTTAAAAAGGGCTTTCTTTGACATTAAAATTCATGCAAACACTGACATGCATTTCGAAAGCAAAGTTATTTACATGGATTAAAGAGGAAAACAAAACTGCAAATCAAAAGAAGAGGAAAAAAAGTCTGATAAGCCAAAAGAAAAACTAAGATGTGTTTAAATGAAAAGTGAGAGGGCAAAAAGGTGTCCCAATGCTGCATACAGTATGTTTTCATTACAAAGCATCACACGATGCTGCCTGATCACAGCCCTACGTTAGCTATAAACCAGCCTATTTGCTCTACTGTTCATTCACCACCTCAAAACAATGGTTATTGAATTAAATCGAGGAAAAAAAGTAAAGTGCTAAAAATTTACAAAGAAAGGTAACAAAAATAAAACCAAGAAAATATATCAATATTGCTGTTAACCGCCTTAAACTCACCTTCTCTTTGTGGGTAAACTACACACAGGTGACCTGGATAAGTGGGCTGCAAGTCATAAGGTATTTAAGTGCAATTAGGTCTAGGCCTTTAAAATCCAATTAAAGAAACCTCAGCTAACAGAGGTTGAGAAACAGCTGCCAGTGACTGGACTTCATGCTGTCATGATCACACATTTATACCGTTTCTCAGTATTTATCGCTTTGGTTTGCCAAAACAAAGCCTGCTCATTATTCTGCAAGCACGTCACAGATAAAAATTAGCCGTCTGCCTCTGCTCTGCTCATCTTATTGTACCCAAAGAATCTCAGCTTTTCTCTTTGTGTTCTCAGCACAAAAGTGAGGAGGTACAGAGCCCGAGTATCATGGCGGCATTATGGAGGGTGTATCTGAAACCGATGGGAGGCGACCATGGTTTAAAAGAAGACTGAATGATCACCTACAAAGGCCTCTTGCCAGAAATGAATCATTTGTGTATGCTTATGTGAATTTTGTTATGTGCAGTGTGTGTCTGGTGTAAAGCACGTTGTAACGCTGGTTTTGAAGTGCTAAGCTAACAAACGTTATTACTTATTTTTCAGTTATTCTTGAGACACCAAACGTCTGCTGGGAAATCTTGACTCTGAGCTTTTGTACGAATGTTACTTTGACGCCCATCTAAATGCAACATCTAGCATGACAGAAGGCTCTTCTAGTATGATAAAACACCCCGCCACAAGATCTCCAATCCAGATGTTCTGCTCATTGCACAGAACACTGTATAATAACTGGTGAAACTAGGACATCAGGACACCCATGGGCACAGACTTGCACCTATCACTTGAAGTCCAAACCTGTACTTTGACAACACCACACCAAAAAGCAAACAAACAAAAAACCCCAAGTCCACAGAGATGTTTCAGTTAGGGAGCTGGAAGCAGTCTTCAGGCACGGGGGCATGTTGTTTTCTCCTGCAACATTTGTGGATGGGTGAGAATCGAGCTGGTGTTGAGGGGTTTC